ACATTCTGTTAATCTTAATGGACAAAAGTATACATTTCAATCTTGCCATTAGGCTAGATTTAAAATTTTCTCACTCTTTGTCAGTATATTCCAAAGAGACTTGGATCAGCTGGTTATTTAAAATATAACACTGGTTCGTTCTGTTGATGACTTCATGGATTAGATGAGTAGGAAATGGCAAGTACATTGGAGGCATTGGTAAGACATGGTGCCACAGAGGGAATATATCAAAATCCAGGGGATCCAGTAATGTTCTACTGGAGAACAATAACCTTTTACCATTATCCCTTTAATGTCCAAAGTGAACTAGATTTCTTCTTAGGAGATCTACTTTGCAGCAAAATGGCATCATTATTTAATGCAGGGTATCTTAAACTAGGCACTATTAACGTTTTGAATTGAATGTCTTTTATGGTGGGGGCGGATCTTCTTTGTACCATAGGATATTCAAAGCATCCTTAGTCTCTTTCCACTAGACGGCACTACCCAACTCCCACCAAACTAGTGACAACCAAACATGTCCCCAGATTTTGTCATATATCTCTTGGGGTAGGAGGAGGAAAATTTGAAAATACTGATTTAATGCATAGATTTAGGTTGAAAACATTCAGTTTATTTACCAAAGGTATCAGTGGAAAAGGTGTCTTTAACACTTTTCTATAGTTTGTCCATACACAGGTAATGTTTCATATTTTGTACACAAAGGAAGTTAAGTTCTTAACTCTGATTCACTCAGGTAGTAGAGAGGTCTTTTTGGTTTTAATTTTTAATAAATACATCCTATCAGAGTTTGATAGACTATCGACAAAGTTCTTCTAATGGCCTCTGTGTCTATATTTGGGTGCTCTTCTCCTTTCAGGGTTGTTTTGAGCTAATCTTGGGTTATCTTTTGATTATTTTGTGGTCTATGTTCTTCTTATAAAGTTATTTATGTGCATTCTTATATCATTTCTTAATGAGGTTCCTAGTTTGTTTGGGACTACTCACTTTTTGGAGAGGGGTGTCAGTCATTATTTACAAGCCTATGTATTAGGAGATAAACACAAACCACCCATAAACACGGCGGCAGGTCCACACATCTGTGTATCATTACTTGCATTAGAAATTTCAAAGAAAGAATCTTTTAAAAAAATCATACGGGTACTATCTGAATTATGACCAATAAAATAGTTACATGGAGTAGATATTGTTCCTGTAAGATACAAACCCAGGATCTTACTTTGGCCCTCATGGACATTCCCATGCAACTCAGGACACAAAACCTGTACAGAAGACAGCTGAGAAAAATCTGAGCACTGAAGTGTATGGAAGGCCCCTGTAAGTTTTTTGATATTTTTGTCTAGTGAGTCAATTTTTTTTAAGTCTCAGTAACCGTGAGAGACACTCTTTCTAATCCTGCTGGGGGAAGCGGCAGAATGCAAGCTGCAGATACCCGTGATGTGTGTAGAGCTGGAACAGCTACGTAATGGGTGGAACCCCTTGACCACCAGATGGCAGCAGAGGGCTGTGCTGACCGAGTCCCTAACTACTCCCAGAAAGGGAGGGTGGTGTAAGATTGCGTGAGCAGAGGTGGAGCCAGAAAGGCCGTCAGAGAAGCCAGGGCCAACTCTACTGAGCCAGAGCCACTGGTGCGAGTTCAGTTGAGAAATAGGGAGGATACTGCTGTATCCTTTCTCTGTCCTTCCCTTTGTGAATTCTTGAGTGAAATGAAAATGGAAATACAAAATATCAAAACCAGTGGGATAACAGCAAAAACAGTTTTAAAAGAGAAGTTTATAAAAATAAATGCCTACACACAAAAGTGAAAAGACTGCAAATAACATTGCACTTAAAGGGACTGGAATAACAAGAACAGACCAAATTCAAAATTAGTGGAAGGAGAGAGGCCTGGTGCCATTGAAGACACAGAACACAGAATGCTATGTGATAATGACACAGAAATTAGAGTTCTGGGCTACAATCCAAAGAATGGCAAGCATTGCGGCACTCACCAGAAGCTAGGCAAATGGTTACTACCTCTTATATGCATATGAAGAAATGTATTAATTATAGCTAAAAATCCTGTAAAGAGATTTTCAGGGCTGGTAAAGTGTAGTTATTTACCTTTCTAAGAATATCCACTTTAGCTGTAGCTGAAAAAATGCAACATAATTGTTAAAGTTCTGTTAACTAGTCTATGTTATTAAACTTTTAAAATGAATATTAGATATCACTGTTTTGATTAGCCTGGTTTTTATAGTGGTAGTTAACAGCGAGGGCTCTTGGAGTCCAGACACTGTTCTGGATTTATTTGTTGACTCTGCCTTTAAACATCTGCAAATAACTTCGCTTTTAAGTTTCACTTCTCAAATATGTAGCATAGATGAAAATACAGAACCAATTTTTTATGTTTGCTCTTAGTAGCAAATGGGAGAATTCATTTTAACCCCCTTTTTACACTTTCTAACACATAAGGATCAGTCAGTGCCAGGAGCCATTTAACAGAAGTGCCAGTAAGTTTCTGGTAAAGCTTTCTCATGTGAATTATTCTGATTTCTCAGATAAGCTATCCTCATTTTTCCTCCTTCTCTGTTTAGCTTCTTTTTAATTTGTTCTATTTTGGCTTGGCTATTAAAGTTTTAATTATTAAAAGCTCATATGGGGGGGTGAAGTGGCTTACACTTATAATTCCACTACTTTGGGAGGCTGAGGTGGGAGGATCCGTTGAGACCAAGAATTTGAGACCAGTCTGGGCAACATAGCAAAACCTCATCTCCAAAATAATAATAATAATAATGATAATAATAATAATAATCACATTAGCCAAGGTAATGGCTCCAGCCTGAGGTCTCAGCTAGTTGGGAAGCTAAACTGGGAAGATCACTTGAGCCCAGGAGTTTAAGATTATAGTGAAGTATGACTGGGCCACTGCACTCTAGCCTGACTGAGCAAGGCCTCTTAAAAAAAGAGTAACTAAAATATAATAGCTAATATGTTTTTACCCAGTATCTAGGTTTTTAAAAAATATAATCTTTTGTGCATATGCAAGAAAACTAGAATAGTAAACAAATATGACATAACATGCTCAGCCAGTCATTCAGTACATTCCCAGAAGAGTAACTGGGCAAGAAGATGTGAGGGAGAAAACAACAAAACGCACTGGCAGGCTTTGTGCACAGAGATCGCTGCCACAAAAGGCACTGGCAGGCTTTGTGCACAGAGACTGCTGCCACAAAATGCACTGGCAGGCTTTGTGCACAGAGATCGCTGCCACAAAAGGCACTGGCAGGCTTTGTGCACAGAGACCGCTGCCACAAAAGGCACTGGCAGGCTTTGTGCACAGAGACCGCTGCCACAAAA